TCATAAAAGTCCATAGTGTAACAAAATAATTAGATCAAACATAGATCTACTGCAATTCTGAAAACTCAAGATTTACACAACATACAGTAAAAACTTGTTTTTCTGAGCATTTTTACATTGAGCTGATACAGTGTTCCTTTACACAGAGTTTATAATCCAAGGCAATTAGACTAAGTCAGACCATCAAATAAGAGTTTGGTTTTTTGCAATGTTTTAATCAGTATATAACTAATGGCTTTTAAAAGACTGCAGGATTAAGATTTCAACAGCTATTCAACAAGTATAATACGTGGGCAGCAAAACCACCCACAATCCACATGGACCTGTGGCGGTGTTTATTTTCCTTTTGTTTTCATGAGTGCGATCTTTAGATAAAAGTAAAAACAATTTTTCTTAATATAAGAGGAAAGCATTATATTTTTGAAACCAGTTTATTAGCAAAAGATGATAAAAAAGTATTTGTTTGATAAAATTGACTCTTATGGTATTAGACGTAGTTAAAGATTGTTTGTTATGTTCAAAAATATTTATAGCTACAAGAAATGTAGAGATAAGAAATCAAAAACCTGCCTGACAACAAGAAGTAATTAAACACTTGAAGCAATCAATCATTCCCAAATATGTCTGATGTTAAACTTTTTGACAACCGGAAACATTAAAGTGTGACAAAATAAAAAATAGGATGTGTTTTTTCATTCCAATATATCTAAAAAAATAACCCACAAACTGCATGGGAACAATCTTTTTTATGAGGTTTTCAATATGTTCTTTTTAAGAAAATATGAGATGATACTTATTGCCAAGACATTCTGCATCGAAATGTTATGATCCTTCATCTGATGAAGCATAAAGACAAAATAAAACAGAACAGGGACCATCTGAAGCAATGATGCCTGCCGCAGAACACCTTGTCTGCTTCCCTTGCAGGATGCCGTCACTATTTGCACCCTGGGGACCGGCACAGCGTTTGGAGAGTCGATCCTGGACAACACCCCCCGACATGCTACAATTGTCACTCGGGAATTCAGCGAGCTCCTACGCATTGAACAAAAGGAGTTCAGGTCCCTCTGGGAGGTGAGTTATTTTAGTTGGTGTATGTTATACATTGAGCTACAAGATGTTCTGACTATTACAGTGTGACACATTTGAAGGTCATGTCATTGTCTGAAAAGTGACTGAGGCAGCTGCTGATACATTAAAAAGGGAAAACTGTATTCAAGACACTGAGTGGGTGGTTGGTAGTGCACAAGGTTAATGAGGTTTAAATAATGAATGAATTGTCAGGTGTCAGCTCACAGCTATAGTTGTTTAAATATTGAAATATCTATCTTTATTTTATTGATTTCATTGGCATGTCATATACCAATGCAAAGTAGTTTAGAATTGTGAGGGAAAGGGAATATACCACACTGATTTCGGTTGTTTAAAAATAAAAATCTCAAGAAGTATGCCTTGGAATTATGATCTCTAGGGTGATGTATATTAACCTGACAACAGCCAGATGCATGTCTCGCTCCGCCTAGATGTATATAGATGAAAATCACAAAAAGCCGAGTAAGTCTTCTGGAAAACTTCTTCTTATTGAAACATTTCAACTCTTCTCCATTAATATAAAGATTTATAGTTAAACTAAACCTTATAACCACTTTATTTTCCAGTGAATAAACCAGTTGATGGTGGCAATGGAAACATAATGATAATGATCCTAGTCGGCAGCTCAGAACCCCGCATCAGCAGCATGGACAAGGTGAGGGATGTCACCATGGAGACAAATGAAACTATGTTCTCCGTTGGTAGTGCATCACTCTTTACCCACGTCTCTGTTGATGAGGGGACGGATGTAATCTGTGTAGGATTAAATTGAAACACCACTCTTAGCAACAGAACCACTCTTTCCACAGAGCAACAGCATCAACCCTAAAACTGCCTGCAGTCAGTGTGCTTCACTTATTGTGAAGCACATTGAATAAGCCTATTATTATTATTATTATTATAGGCAAAAGCCTAGACTTGCTGTGAGATCCCTATTGTCCGCTATTGCTGCAAACCTGTACATGGAAGAGATAGAAAAGAGAGCTTTGGCATAAATGCCTTACACTTCAGTTATTTTAATGACATCAGAGTTAAAATAAAATCTTAAAAATTCTTTGATTTCAGTCTGTGGAAAAATGCATCAATTAAAAATGCAGGTGTGCTTTCCTGGACTCTGACCTCAGACCCACTCACTCAGACCAGTAATTGGAGTTTGACTTCCATGATCCACTGAAGCACAAGTTAGAAATCATCAGGACCTTGTATCACAGAGCAAAGACACCAAGGAGCCAGGGGGAAGGAGGAATTGCAACCAAGAATGTGGCTATCCTAACTGGACTTTATTTTAAGCAGATCCAGTCAGCAGTCAGGTAAAGAGGAGGAACCCAAACCCAGAATCCTGGTTCAAACTGAATAACAGTGTCTGTGTTATTAGGTACATCAGGGAAACAAGGCAGCCATTGATAAAAAGCACAGGAGTGCGACATATCCAGGAAAATAATTAGCAGTTTATACTAATCTGCAGGCCAGCAGTTGCCCCTTTCATTAATTAGAACCTTCCCATTATTATGTATTTTAAAGCCTTTAATAGTTTTTCTTCAATTACTTCCCTCCATCGAGCCCCATCAATCTTCTAATCAGCTCTCACAACTTTTACTTTTGTTAGTATCCCCATTTTTCTGTGCACCCTAGGGCGGAGACAAACCAAACATCTCATTGGCTCTTTGTTTGCTGATTTTCCATAAAAAAAAAAAAAAAAAAACATAAAACAAAACAAAAAACTGAAAAAGAGAGCCCTCCTTCAGCAGCTACGCCATCGACAGATTTTCACACCTGAGTTGTAGATTATCACACCTGTCCCTGAGCTATGATGACCATTTGGTTGTCTCAATTATAAATGCCAATTTAGATGGACAGCCTCATCTTACTAGGTTTGTAGATGTGCCATAAACTCTCAATTCTATTGAGAGTATTGATCACTGCTCTGTGAGATGTCCAAAGCTTGGAGTGCTGTTCTATAACCTTTAACTCCTCTCTGTTAAAATGTTGAAAGGGTGTGTGCCTGTGTATATTCACAGTCATTCAGGTCATGGCAATCACAGAACAGATTTAAATCAGAGGCAACTCCACTGATGCTGAGAATTCAGAAAAACTGATCATTAAGGGGTTTGATTAATTTTTCAGAGATCTTTGTGTTTATACCATATTTTGACCACTAGGTGGAAATGTTGTATAGAGGCAGATATTTTTCTCCATGGGCTGTTTAGCAGCAATTCAGTGTTTTTAAATAGGCTAAGTGCATTAACAGTATATAATGGTATTAAAGGACTATTAGCTCCTACCCTAAAGCCTTGCTTAGTGAACAGAATATGCTTTCTGTTTTACGTATGACAGCCCATGTTTCAGTCATCCTATTCATAGCCTGAACTAATGATTTTAGGTCAGTTGATGATGTTATTCTGTGTGAAGGACCAAACCCCCCCACTCTTACCTCCCCCTCTATAACAGGCAGGCTTCCTGAGAGAGCCAGCCCCTTCCTTTCCTTTGGGGCCACAGGGCATAAGTAAGTTAGTTTATGGTCTCTGTGTGTCAGTGTGGCCATCAGACTGAGATCTTTACTGTTGCAGTGCGTATACAGAAGATCACTCTGAACGACTACCAGGATAGATATTTCAACTCCGCCTGAGGCGGCCTCTCCTCCAAGGTTAGGCTCAAATGAGATTTTGCTGCTCTTCCATCCGATGGCTAAATTATCTTATGTTGTTAGCTGATGCTGTTGCTTTTGTGGTAAAATGGTGTTTAGTTATATTCTAGTCATTTTCTTTAGTTTTTTATTTCCATCTAAACTGTAAATTAGGTATTTAACAATTTATTTGCCTCCTTAAAATTAGGATGCCTGTTTTCTTTCATCTTTTTGTCTTCTTTGTAAGATATTTAAAATATTTTCAGATGATAAATCAAATCTGATTTTAGATGTATGCATGCAATTATTTATTGACATGATTTAAAACAATTGTCATGAATTGATGATTTAAGCAACATTATAATCCTAAACTTTATTTAAAAAGGGACAGTGTACAGCTGATTGAACATAAATATCCTAATTTCATGCATAGTACAGATTCATGCATAAGCACATCTTTATATCTTTAGTTTCGCAAAAGCTCTTGAAGGCTAATTCAGAAAGAAATTAGTAATAATGAATAAACAAAACAGCACGATGAGAACATTGCAAATTTGCATAGAAGAGTCTGATCAAACAGAGATGAAATGTTGGGTTTAAATACGTGATTAGTTGGTGGAGTAAGAACCAAAAGTGGGCACCCACCCAATCTCTTCTGCTTACCTGTTGTTTCTCAGGTAACAGGTTTCTCAGGTAACAGGTCCAAGTGACCAACTCTCCTGTTCGTTATGGGGGATCCCAAAGCATTTGCAAGTCCTGGCTCTTCATGATTATACCTGCTGTAGAAAATATGTTGTCTTTGATTTAAGTCTGTTTTGTAGTTACTCAAAGAAAGTTCCCAGGATAGATCCTGATCCGAGGCTAGAGCAGTTCAAATGAGACATTTCAATGCAGAGAAGTGGGGTAATGCGTAGGTTTATATGAAGTCTACTACATTTTTACATTTATTAAAAGCACTCTCCTCTCTCTTGTTCCATTTATAGATCACTAAAATCAGAATCCCATTCCTTGACTGAACTGTAATAACATATTTTCTAAATTGCATGTTTGCAGCAGAAACTGAATTTTAGAAAGAAAAAAAAAAATAAAAAAAAATCATACTTGTAAGAAATAAGTTATATATACCTAGAAATGTTTACACATTTTAAGTGGCTGTTTTTAGATTTATCAGTTTGACTAAATATGTATTTATATCTGAAATACATTTCTTCATAGTCAAAATAACACAAACTCTGGTCAGTAACAATATTATGGATTATGGATATTTGAAATTAGACATCAATAATGTTTATTCTAGAGGTGAAGAAAATAATTTGGTTTGAAATGGTCATTTAGACAAAGAATGTTTTTTTTTTCAGGTATCAGGAATACATATTCAGTAAAACTAATTGATATCAAAGTTGCTTACCATAGCATGTTGTGACCATGATAACATTACAGGTTTATTTCCTGAATAGTAGAGGATCAGTATATCTATTTAGGTGAAATCCTCTGGCAGCAGGATAAGATGAAGTCTAAAAACTTTGTTCTAATAGATAGAACCTGTTCATCATCTCATGGGGTTCCTTGCATGTTGATTCTGTCTTCTTTTACAAAATAAAAGTGGAGGTTTGCGGTCGCTTTGGATGTTATCATCCCAATAAATGGTTGTAATTAGCAGTTATCAGTCCAATAGAATGGCTTCAGACTGTGTCAGTACGCTCAGTAGGATGTTATTACGGAGTGAATCCTAATCCTAACCCTATTATGTTATTCCTTTTACCGCCACAGAATTGATTAGTCTATTTATGTGTAATCTGAAAATAATTTCAGTAGTTCTTAATGTACTGTAAATATAAGTACATAAAAATAAAATGATCTGCATCTAGCTCATATTAGACAAACCAAAACAAATAAATCTGTCATATATCCTGTCAACTGAGTTGTAGAACCCTCTTCCTTTAAATAGACCAGTTATTTCTCTGTGAATAATGTGGATAATTCTTTAATTAGATCCTTGTCCAACCAACATGTATTCTTTGTTTTTAAAACCTAATGTGTCTAGCAGACATAAGGAATGTTTTTTTTTCTTTTTTTTGTGCACAAAACTAAAGCAAAGATCTGACTAAATCAGGAAATAAAGCAATGTGATTGGCGCGAAAGAGAGCAGAGACAGAGGACACTGAGTTTTTTGAACGAAACCTGCTCCTGACCAGGTTAGCTCTGGGGAGAATGTTACTATGGTGACTGAAACAGAGGTTGAGGAAACTATCTTTGTGAAATGGAAAAGTCTGAGTTTTCCATTTTTGGTAGTGCACAAGGTTAATGAGGTTAAAATAAATAAATAATAAATTAATTGTCAGGTGTCAGCTCCACTCAA